AAAAAAAAAAGCCCTAGGAAACAAAATAGGTGAATATATTATCATGAGTATGAGGAAGGCCTTCTTAAACATGTTCTCTTACCTGAAGACTATAAAGGATAGGCTTGATCTGTTCCTGGTGTTTTTGTTTTTAGAAAAATTCAAAGGTTTTTAAATAAACTAGTATTATACACATACGGCTTAAAAAAAAAAAATCCAGTACTGAAAAGATTATAATGGAAAGCAATTGTTTCTCTGCCCTACCCTTCCCATTTTTAGGGCTTAACTTCAGGTAGTCACTTGTGTATCACTCGTGATTTGCTAGTGGGATATTCATTTGTATATTCAGTCGCTATGTTTAGTGCCTCTCATATACTGAAATCTAGCTCCTGCCCCACTCTCACCTCCCATCTTCTTCCTGACAGCACGCCACCACCTCAGTCATTCTACAAGTCACCTTTGCTGCTTTGAAGATTCTAAGCCTTTCAATCTTGGCTCACAACTACACAGTACATCCTGTAAATTCCAAGTGCCGCATCCTTATGCTTCCCTTCATTCTGTCCTCCTTTTCTCACTCACTGTCGTCTATTTCTCTTTAAGTTGTGAACATTTATAGCTTGTTACATAACCTTAATTGAACCATCTGTTCCTTGTCTGTGTGCCTGGATTCCAAGAGCTAACAAATCATTAAGTTCTTAAAGCTTTTGTTGTTTTCTTGGTCATCTCAGTCTCCTTTAGGGTCTTTTTATTTATCTTAAGCTCTCTCACACTGGTGACTGGTGCTGTCTATCCTATTTCAAAACAAGGAAGACCTCATTAGAGGCTTGGATGTGTGGGAGGGCCTGTTACCTGGTACAATCTGATGTACAAGGGTCCTTAGGTGGGGAAGAAGCTATTATGTAGAGGAACCCTTGAAAGCCAGAAGGCAGAGGACTTTGCTTAATAACACTGACTTTCCTTACTGAGAAACCTTCCAATATTACAAACTGTAGTTTGTAGTGACACCTGGTGCTCTGCTTGTGGAAGTGGTGGGGTGAATGTTTTATATCCTGGTTTTTCAATCCATTTCACTATGGTGCCTGGACCCCACCCCCTGAGAGTTGATTTGGTTGGCCTGGGTTTGGTAAGCCTATGTATCAGCATATTTTATTTATTTTGAGAAAGAAAGAGTGTTAGTGGGGGAGGGGCAGAGAGGAGGAGAGAAGGGGAGAGAGGGAAAGAGAGAGAGAAAGAATCCCAGCAGGCTCCATGCTCAGTGCATAGCCCGATGCAAGGCTCAATTGAACGACCCTGAGATCATGACCTGATAGGAAATCAAGAGTCAGACATTCAAATTACTGAGCCACCCAGGTGCCCCAATTTATCAGCATTTTTTAAAATCTCCCCAAATGATTCTCCCATACATCCTGCAATAAGAACCATAATATAAAACAAACTTATGGGGAGGCAAAGAATAAGAAGGTTTTGAGAATGCCAGGTTTTAGAGGTAAAACATTACAGAAGTAAAATAGTTCCAAGTCATAAAAGGTCCAGGATATGCCAAGGAAGAGGATGGCTGATGAAGAGTGGGAAGCAAAGTTACAGGAGTGAGGGAACAAGCAGGCAAGGACAGTAAAGAACATCCAGATGGACCTGTGAATTCATTCCAAAGAAAGTCAGGGCATGAGGGGATGAGGAAGACAGCAAGACACCAAATACCAGAAAGCAACCAGGGAGTCGGCAAGTGACAGCTGAAAACAGATAAGCATAAATTCAAAGAAACAAGGATACATGAGAATAGGAAGGTGCTATCTGTATCCCACCTCCCAACTCCCTGGATAGTCATGGGGAAGCAAAAGAAACTGCTTCCACTGTAAAAGTGTTGCCCTTGGGTTACCTGTATTGCTGGAATCTAAAGAGATACTTTTTTTAAGTTTACTTATTTGTGAGAGAGAGAGTGACCGAGTGAGAGAGCAGGAGAGGGGCAGAGAGAGATGGAAAGGGAGAAAATCCCAAGTAGGCTCTGCACTGTCGCACTGTCAGTGCAGAGCCCCACAGGCGTTTAACCGACTGAGCCACCCAGGGGCCCCAAGAGATGCTCTTAAAGTACTTATTTATCTCTCCCACAGGGACTCCCTTATTAACAGAGTGCAAGACAGGTCCCCTAATTGTCCTTTGTTTTTATGTTTGAATGTTTGTTTATTTTTGAGAGACAGAGAGGGAGGGAGGGAAGGGCACATAAGCATGGGGGGAGGGGCAGAGAGAGAGAGAGAGAGAGAGAGAGAGAGAGAGAGACAGACAGAATCCAAAGCAGGCTCCCAGCTGTCAGCACAGAGTACCACAGGGCTTGAACTCACCAACCTCAAGATTATGCCCTGAGCCAAAGTTGGATGCTTAACCAACTGAACCACCCAGGCACCCCCTTAACTGTCCTATTTAGAAGCCTGTTAGCCCAACTCCCAGAGATTGCTTATTTTTCTTTAATGTTTATTTTTGAGACAGAGATAGCACAAGCAGGGGTGGGGCAGACACAGAGAGGGAAATACAGAATCTGAAGCAGGCTCCAGGCTCTGAGCTGTCAGCGCAGATTTCAACATGGGTTTCGAACCCACAAACCATGAGAGCATGACCTGAGCCAAAGTCAGAGGCTTAACTCACTGAGCCATCTGAATGCACCATGATGTACCTATAATACACTTGTCTAAATCCAAGACTGATGAGGCACACCTGGTTTAGACAACGGAATCCTTGGCACACAGCCACACTAACCCACATACAGCACTTCCCCAACCCATATAGTTAAGGCTGACCTACAGTGTGAGAAAAAGGCTTCCAAAATGTGCCATGTCCCACTCACTCAGATGTGATCCACACCTGTGCACTCCCTAGGTGATGATTTGGGGGGGTCTGGAAGTTTGCACATCTGTCAATCCTTGGTAACATTAATGATCTCTTTGCCATGCATTTGG